ACACTGCCGTTCCTTTGTTTTGTGTCGGAGAGAGCCCTCATGTCATGTCTATCCCTTGCAAAACCCAGGCGGCCACCAACTCCGCCCAGGGGGCTTTAGGGTTTCGGGTTTAGGGTTTAGGGTTTAGGGTTTAGGATTTAGGGTGTAGGGTTTAGGGTTTAGGATTTAGGGTTTAGGGTTTAGGGTTTAGGGTTTAGGGTTTAGGGTTTAGGGTGCAGGCAGTAACGGCAAGCCAACGCCGCCTAAAGCGGGCCGGCACTGTATCAGGGTCCCAAAATTGTTGTGTGCCCCAAAACATCGTGAGACCGCAGGGAAGATCAGGCCAGGATTGGTGGAACAACACAGACACAAGAACAGTAGCAAGCCAAAATGATGACACAGAATCCAGAACACCCTAAACTCTTTCAATCTACAGCCCTGACAGGTTTCTGGACTTTACAACCCGAGGTCTCTTCGCTCTTCAGCGCTTTGCCAAGACGAGCGCCAAGGAGAGTGCCGCGAGCGACAGGAAGGAACGACTGCCAGCAGAAGAAGTCGCTGTGGGGTCCACGGCTGGCGGACCGGCCGCGGGACCTGCCGAGGAACTTATGCCGGGAGTTGAAGTTGAGGTTGTTCCTGGGGTAGTGGTGGAGGTTGTTCCTGGGGCAGTGGTGGAAGTTGTTCCTGGGGTAGTAGTGGAAGTTGTTCCTGGGGTAGTGGTGGAAGTTGCTCTTGGGGTAGTGGTGGAAGTTGCCCCTGGGGTAGTGGTGGAAGTTGCCCCTGGGGTAGTGGTGGAAGCCGTGCCTGTTTGAGAGGAAGTTGTGCTTGGGGTCGTGTCCGGGGTCGTTGTACTGGGGGACGTGGAGGCAACTGTCATGGCGCCTCCTGCACCACTGCCCTGCCAGAGGGTGTTGGAGGTATCACTCAGGCGCCGGATGGTGTTCACGTGCAGCCGCCCCTGGGTGTCGTAGCTGCCGTCGACCTCCACGCTGACCTCCCTGCCCCAGTACTCCTGCGTGCCCAGCCACGTGATGACGTCCGCGTTGCCTCGGTCCGAGAAGAGCACCTCAGTATCACAGGCAAGGGGGTTTCCGAAATTCGGGGGCGGGAGGGGGGGGGGGGTACCTTCTTGGGGTCCTTTTTTTTCAGGGAATCCGATGATTTAGGGGTCTACATTAGGGGTCCGCTAGTCTCGTAAACCCCCATATCAAAATAGGCACAAACACAAAACCCACGGAAAGCGCCCTCAAGCCTCAACCTCTAGAGTACAGGACGTCTCGACCCTGGATCAAAGTCCCAAAGCCCCAAAACCCACCACTCCCTGAAACCCCAATCCCCAAAAAAGAAACCCTAAACCCTGAACCCTAAACCCTAAATCCATAAACCAGAACCCCCAAACCCTAAAGCAGCCCTGAATCCTCTCTTCTCGGTTTGAATCCTCTCTTCTCGGTTTCGATCCCACTGTGCACCTCGAAGGAATAGAGATCCGCGCCGCCGGGCTTTGTAAGGATGCCATAGCCAGAGTTCTTGGGTAGTTAGGGTTTAGGGTTTAGGGTTTAGGGTTTAGGGTTTAGGGTTTAGGGTTTAGGGTTTAGGGCTTAGGGCTTAGGGCTTAGGGTTTAGGGTTTAGGGTTTAGGCTCCATCAAGCATTCAGTAGGGCTAGCTGCTTTTCAAGCGCCCGGCGTTCGCTAAGGGTTGAGGGTCTAGGGGTGCTAAATGTAGGCCACCCACCTGGGCCCTGAAGGTTTTACGATCTCTCTGAACCTATGCTTTCCCCCTGTATCTACCTTCTATAGGGTCCTATGTTGCCGCCAAGAAGGGCTGGGTTTAGGGTTTAGGGTCTAAGGGTTAAGGGTTCAGGGTTAAGGGTTTAGGGTTTAGGGTTTAGGGTTTAGGGTTTAGGGTTTAGGGTTTAGGGTTTAGGGTTTAGGGTTTAGGGTTTAGGGTTTAGGGTTTAGGGAATCGGTGGGGGGGGGGGGACACCTGTCCTCATTTCCAGGGCGAATTAGCTTGCTCTTAGGCGGCGGCTGTGAAGCTTTGGGGGAACCCTAAACCCTAAACCCAAAACCCTAAGCCCTAAACCCTAAACCCTAAGCCCTAAACCCTAAACCCTAAACCGGCATAGGATCCCGGCAGATGGACACGAGGTTGCAGTGCACCTGAGATGCTCTTGCTGTTGGGCCGAGTCGGCCCTCATTCCCCTTTCTTTTAAAGTTTAGGGTTTAGGGTTTAGGGTTTAGGGTTTAGGGTTTAGGGTTTTGGGTTTTGGGTTTTGGGTTTAGGTTCCCTTCTAAACCCCTTCAAAGACAGAAGGGCACCTTTTTCATTCCCAGGCTACTCTTGGGGCTGGTCATCTAAGGGTAGCCATCGGTTCTTTAAGTTCTGAAGTATGGGCCCTTGCTTTTTTTTGGGCATACAGGGGGTGCATCGTACGTCAAAGGGTAGGTATATGGCCACTTCATATGGGCCCTTAAATGGGGCCCTCCTAAGTTCAGGTTTGAGGGTTTTCTTGAGGTAGGGCTCAGGGATAGTTGTTTAGGGTTGTCTACGGGTGATCAGTAGCCCTAAACCCTAAACCCTAAACCCGAAACCCTAAACCCTAAACCCTAAACCCTAAACCCGAAACCCTACACGGCCCCAGGCACACTATGGCTCCCCGGATTCCTTCGCCCGTCCACACCGTCGATGCCCACCCCGCGGTCGATGCACAGCCGGTCGTAGATGTAGCCTCGGGTTCTTGGGATTGTTTGGGGTTTAGGGTTTAGGGTTTAGGGTTCAGGGTTCAGGGTTTAGAGTTTAGGTGGGGGGTTGGGGCTTTACAGGGGCTTTGCGGGCGGGCTTTATGGGGGCTGGTTGTAGGGCCTTTAGGGGCTTTATAGGGGTTTAAGGGGTTTTTTGGTGCTTAGGGGTTTGGGGTAGATGTAGCCTTGAGGACTTGAGGGTTTGGGGCCGGGGATGAGTCGAAGTTCATGGGCCTCCAGACATGTATATCCTGAGCCCTGAGAACCTAGGATCCGGGGCTTGAACCTGGGGTCCGGGGCTTGGGGTTCAGCAGGTTGCAGGTTCAGGGCTTGAGGGGAAAAGCTTCATCAACACCTTTACGTTTAACCCAAAGCACTGAACCTTGAACCCTAAATCCTAAACCCTAAACCCTAAACCCTAATCAAGAAACCTTGAACCCCTGGACCCTGATCCCCAAACGTGCCCGGCCTGAGTGCACCGCTGCGGACGTCAACCAGGGCAGGACGCTCAGCGCCAGCGCGAAGGCACGGAGCCGAAGTGTTTGCATGGCACCCTAAGAGGGTCTTGAGGTTCAGGGTTTAACCCTGAGACTGAAGGCTCTTTTTGCCTCCAGACCAGCCCCCGGGAAAACTTGGCACCGTCTTGAGCCAACAACGCGGGGGCGGTTTCACGCGCCTCTGCAGCGAACAACCGACAATATCCCTAAACCCTGAACCCTAAACCCTAAACCCTAAACCCTAAACCCTGAACCCTAAACCCGAAACCCTAAACCCTAAACCCTAAACTCAAGGTCTTGCGCCTGCTGCCCCCCTCGTCGACCGTAGCGCCGAACCGGCCCCCGGCGCAGCTCCAGGAACACCTGGCGAGGACAGGGTTTGGGGGTTTGGGGATTGAGGGAGTAGGGTTTGGGTTTAGGGTTTAGGGTTTAGGGTTTAGGGTTTAGGGTTTAGGTTAGGGTCTAGGATCTAGGGTCTAGGGTTTAGGGCTTAGGGTGTTTGGAGGGTCCAGAATTCAAGGGTTTCAAGGTTTAGAGGGCTTTGGGTGTTGGGCTCGTGCCTCACTCCATACACCAAGCTTTCGATGTCATCCATCCGGGGGTTTTTAGGGATTTTAGGGTTTTTGTTAGGATTTGTAAAGGAATTTTTCGGGTTTTTAGGGTTTTTAGGGCTTTTAGTTTAAGGTCTAGGGTTTTTAGGCCGCGTCCTAGCAGAGTCGGGCCTCGTCCACTGCGGACCCCACGCGACCCCCGACCGCCGCCACCGCTCCTGAGCCGTCCTCGCATAGGGTTCAGGGTTCAGGGCTCAGGGTTTAGGGTTTAGGGTTTACACTCAGATGCCCCTTGGTTGAACAGGTTGGTCTTGAAAAGATTCCCCTCTAAAGCCCCAAAGCCCCAAAGCCCCAAAGCCGAAGTCTTAAAAACCCTAAACACCCTAAACAACAAAACCATCAAAAACCCAAAAGCCCTACACACCCCAAAAAACCCTAAACCCTAAACCCTAAACCCTAAACCCTAAACCCTAAACCCTAAACCCTAAACCCTAAACCCCAGACCAGTCGCTATTCTCAGTTTGCCAGGGATCTGGACTCCGAGGTCTCAGGCCTTGAGGGCAAGTGAGCGCCGGGCCGCGGGTGCTAAGACTTTGGAGTTTAGGGTTTAGGGTTTAGGGTTTAGGGTTTAGGGTTTAGGGTTTTTTTTTGGGGGTATTTTAGGGTTTTTTAGGGTTTAGGGTTTAGGGTTTAGGGTTTAGGGTTTAGGGTTTAGGGTTTAGGGTTTAGGGTTTAGGGTTTAGGGTTTAGGGTTTAGGGTTTAGGGTTTAGGGTTTAGGGTTTCGGGCTTAGGGCTTCGGGTTTAGGGTTTCAGGGATGATAGGACTTCTTTTGCTGGTAGGGTTTATAGTGCTTATAGGGGGTTTCGAAGATTTTCATAGGGGCTTTATAGTGTTATAGAGTTTGGAGGGTTTGTAGGGCATAGAGGGTTGGTAGGGTTTCATAGGGCTTATGGGGTTCATAGGGCTCGGTTGTAGGGTTTGTCGGGCTTACAGGGTTGAAAGGGTGCTTTAAACTCCAGGGCCCAAGGGTTTTGGGTTTTGAGAGCTTTTCGGGCCGGATTAGAGGGGTTTACAGGGCTTTTGCGGCTTTAGGAGTTTTAAAGGTTGGGCTTTTTTGAGGATCTTTTGGGGTATTGCACCCCTGAACCCTAAAGCCTAAACCCTATCTAAACCCTCAACTCTGTAGGTTTCTGCGGTAGCCCCAGCTTCCTCCTGGGTTCAGTGGCTAAGTATGGTCAGATAGACAACAAACAACCCCCAATCCCAAATTTGAATTGGCAAAAATGGAAATTTTTATTCAAACAAGATAAAATATAAAATATAAAACATATTAACAAAATGTAATAATTAAAAATGACAAAAGGCAGCTGGGCGGTCTGTGAGCCATCCTCCACGCGACAAGTCATCAGCTCATCGTACCCAGAGACTCCAATACCCCTTAACTAAGGAATATTCCTTAAACCATATAAGGAACCCTATGATGATTTAGGGAATATTCTTTAATTAAGGGGTATTGGAGTCTCTGGGTAACAAGTCATCAGCTCATCGTACCCACGCCACTGCCGTGGCCCAAGCATGGTCTGGAGCTTGGCGAGGAAGCTTGCGCTGAGCATGACCGATGTGCCGCAGCCCTAAACCCCAAACCCCAAACCCCAAACCCCAGACCCCAAACCGCCTGCATCCGCCCCAAGATTATCCTTACTCATTGGCCTTGTTCCCCTTACCTTCTTCTTGCCGATTAAGAAATGGTTGACATTGTTCTCATCGACCTTCTTCCTTGCTAACTCCGATTGGCCATGAGCCTTGAACCCCCCAGCCCTAGATCCTGGCACACCCGAACCCTACGCCCGAAACCCCATCAACGTCCTCCGAGTTGGGCTGTAAGTGGACTCCAATGAGGGAACTGCCTGTGGCCATGGGGGGGGGGGGGGGGGGGGGAGATAGGTCCGGGGTTTAGGGCTTAGCGTTTAGGGTCATAGTCAAAGCAGTCGAGTTTTGCTGCTGAAGCCGCCAGGTTGTGTTCCCGATTCTCACAGCCGAAATCATGGCCAGTGTAAGGTTGCTCTGCGATCCACGGGGAAACGAATCCAATATGATGTGGAGCTTCCTGTGCAGGGTGTCCCAGCAACCGGGACTGTGGTCCATCCCTAAACCCTAAACCCTAAAGGTAGGCGAGGGACTCCCCGAGCACAGCACACTTAGGGCTTGTTTTTGTGCGGTTTAGGGTTTAGGGTCTAGGGTTTAGGGTTCAGGGTTTAGGGTGTAGGGTTTAGGGTTTAAGGTTAAGGGTTTAGGGTTAGGGTTTAGAGTTTAGGGTTAAGGCACTCGCCATCTGAGAACACGACAACGTTCTCACGGGCAAAGAGGCAGCGCCTGCCTACGCGCCATCTCCCAGGAGGCAGACGGGTCGATGTCACTGCTCGCGCACTCGAGGGTTTAGGGTTTAAGATGCCCGTGGTTTAGGGCTTAGGGTTTAGGGCCATCCCAAAACCCTGTTTCCAGAGCATAGCTGTGAAGTAACAGAGCATAGTTGATGGCATAGCTGTGACGTAACACTCGGTGCAGTTTAGCCTTTTGCTAGGTGGAAATCTTCAAGTTCAGGCAGCAGATGAGTCAGACTCTGAACATGCATAGTTACCCCAGTAGGGTGTGCTGCCACTGGGGTTTAGGGCTTGGAGTTTCGGGTTTAGGGCTTAGGGCTAAGGGTTTAAGATTCAGGGCTTAAGATTTAAGACTTCGGGCTTAGGGTTTAGGGTTTAGGGTTTAGGGTTTAGGGTTTAGGGTTTAGGGTTTAGGGTTTAGGGTTTAAGCCCTAAAGAGGCCAGCCTTGGAACTGTAGGCCGACGATCCTCAGAGAAGGGGGGGGGGGTGCGGTTGTGAGAGGGGGCTGAGGGTAGTTTCATGGTCCCTTCGTGGGGGCCCTTAAAAAGGGGACCCAGGGTTGAGGGTTTAGGGTGTAGGGTTTAGGGTTTAGGGTTTAGGGTTTAGGGAAGACCTCAGACTGCCGTCATAGGGTTATGCAGTCCACAGCATAAGGCCCTGACTAGGGTTTGTTTTGTTCCTTAACAAGAACCCAGCTTTATAATGATGTTGGCAAATGCACTTTCAGATGCAGATGATGCAGCTTGGCGGACACCCGTTCTAGTAAGGATTCACCTTGCAAGGGACTCTTTGCCTCATGCCCCATCCATTTGGAGGAACAAGCCCCACATGAGGGAAGTTTGATGTTAATGACTTGCATGGCGACTCTTCCAGAGTAGAGCCGGATTTTTGGGGTCCTCCTTACAAAATAGGACCATGTTTTTGAGAAATGAGTCGGTAGGCTTCAGTTTGGGAACCCCGACCCCCCTGCTGGGAGCCCCCTAGGAATCCTGGGACAGTTGCTGGGATCCCCTCCCTTTTTTGAGGCCTTTCCCAGAAACCCTCTTTCCTCCTTTCCTGGCCGTGGGCCGGTCCGGCTGCCGAGGCGGCGCGCGCAAGCGTTTACAATTAAATACCCCCCATATGCTATAAGAAACTATACTGGCGCTATTTAATATTATGGGGTAGGGGGGGGTTAGTATTGGGGGGAGGGGATGATGCTGAGGTCGCACGCCTGAAGTTCAAGGTCCGAGGGTTTTAAAGTCGTGACTCCTCAGCCCTAACCTTGAAACTCTAAACCCCTAACCCCCAAACTAAACCCTAAACCCCTAAACACCTAAACCCCTAAACCCTAAACCCCTCAACCCCTAAACCCTAAACACTAGACCCAACACCCTAAACCCCAAACCCCAAACCCCTAAACCCTGAACCCTAGACCCTAAACCCTAAACCCTAAACCCCAGTTCTTGGCAAGACTCTGGCAGTCTGCCGGCGCGATGAAGCGCGAGCGCGTCATGGCGTCATCGCCTGCTGGGGCTATGAATGCCTTGGGGTTTAGGGTTTAGGGAGTTTGGGGTTTAGGGTTTAAGGTTTAGGGTTTAGGGTTCAGGGTTTTGGGTTTTGGGTTTTGGGTTTTGGGTGTTGGGGTTACGGCTTAGAGGGGCTTTAGGGTTTCGGGCTTCTGGGTTTAGGATTCATGCACGCGACTCTGCACGCATGAGGATAATAGGGATTGTAGTACCCCCTACGGCCCTACTATAATCCCTATTAAGGACTGTTAGTATCAGGGGGAACATCCCACAGGACGATCATCAGGACTTCACCCGGAAGTCTGAAACCCACTGATTCTTCATAATCTAGGGTTTAGCGTTTAGGGTTTAGGGTTTAGGGTTTAGGGCAGAACTTCCCAATCAACTTCAAAGTAACTGACCCTGGGCGCATTGCCTGTGAACCCCCCACCACTTGCTTTAGGGTTTAGGGCTTCGGGTTTAGGGTTGGGATGGTCCCCCCTATACAATAGGGACGACGGGGGTACCATAATCCGTACTAAGGACTGCTAGTAAAAGGGGGTACATCCCTAAACCCTAAACCCTAAACCCTAAACCCTAAACCCTAAACCCGAAACCCTAAACCCTAA